AAAATTAAATTATTTTTAAATTAAAAACAGTTGAAATTTGAAGTTTTAATTTTAAAATTTCAGAGAGCCTCTCCTTTCTCCTCCCACTGAGCTTCACCCCACTCCCACCATCTCTTAAAGCATTTTAAAGGGAAGCAGATGAATGTCGCAGCCCATTTCTGCCAAAAGGTAGGTGTTTGAGAAGCAGTGGTATCACTTAAGTGCAGTCCACCTCCTCCCCACCAGGGATGCCACTGGTTTTGCATCCAGGTTTTGAGCCCTTCCATAAGCGGGAAGAGTGAAGCAGGAACGGTTGGACTCCTGAGAAACGCATCACAAAATAGAATTCTCCAGAATTTTGGCATATTGACATCAAGGAATGCAGTCTGTGTTTGTGTCTGCCTGTGTCCATGTGCATGAATGCAAATTACAAATAAACAATACAGATTATTCTGGTACATGCTTGTATATATCACAGGCAGTTTACATTTTCGTTCTACCTTTCTCTCTCTGTAAAGCACTTTCACCATGTTTCTCCAAAGAAGCTGTATATCAGTTGCAGCCTAGGTAAGGAACTAGACTAAAACTATGAGGTATATCTAAGGTCCAAAGCACACTTCATAAATTATTTAGTTTGAGACTGCCTTAAATACCTTGATTCAATGCTAGAGAATTCTGGGTACTAGTTTCAAAGCTCCGGTGCCACAGTATACTACAATTCCCAGTATTCCTTAACACTGATGAGCCAAGGCAGTTTAAATAGTCTCAAACTGGATTATTTATGCAGTGCGTTTTGGATCCATGGCTGTTTAATTTTTATAATAGTGATCAGATAAGATTAGACATGTTCATGGGAGGAGGAGGAGGAGCTCTCTGAAGTTGCCCTCTTTAGTGCTCTCTGAAATTTAAGCCCTGTATTTCAGCATGAGCAACTCTCTTCATTGTTATAGTGAACTTTCCTATTTGCTTTGCTTCTGATATGTATCATTTAAAACAGAGAGAGATGGGGCTGAAATGAAGATCCATAGATCTACAGTTTTGAATGTGAATGCTGAATGTGGGATTGCAAAACCACAGCTATTAGCTGCTGCACAATTTCCTCTGATGTAGCGGTCATCCTGTGCTATAAACACTACTTGTATTGTTTATATTTCCTGTTTCAGCTTGCTTCAATGCTATCCTTATTTTTTTAAAAAGGGTATAAGAGTATAATAGTGATCATCTTGTCAACAGACTCAGTGAGACTTTGAGAGGGATGGTCCCAAATACATAAAATTGTTTTACTTGATTTCCCCCCCCCCCAAAAAAAATCTTTTTTAAAAAATGTGAACTAAGATCAGAGTGTTCATTACATGTGTACCCTTTTCATTTTCCTTTGCCAGCACTGCAGTGAGAATCATTCCATGACTTAAAGTTAGTCCCTAAATGAAACAAAACTTAACTTACATGTACTTTTATTTGCTCACATTCATCTTGTTAGGTCTGAGTTTCTCAAAAACGGCTCTTCGGTCGTCTCTGCTGTCAGCATTTGAAACGGAAGCTCCTTCCGAACACCAAGGATGTAGGTACAAGCATGACAAAATGAGAGCATTGCCCTCTAAATAAGAATGCCGCCCCCCTTCAGTTCCCAAATTCCTACCATTTTAAAGTGGGAGACACAAGACACCTAGATCTTATATTTGCAGTGTTTGCATTCCCTTGGGAATTTTGCTCCCTTGTTCTTTCAATGCCTTTACTGTATTTCTAAATGCTCAACTGAAGTTTCAAATTACTGCAATGCTAGAAATTTGGGACTAAAGGAATATTTTACTTAGGAGGGGCAGCATTCTTATTTGGGGGGGAAATGCCCTCATTCCTCCCCCTGCTACAGCCTTAGGCAACAGAAACATTTTTACTTTTCTTTTTAAAAACCTTACACAATTCTGTAAAGTATCATATACACTAGAGATTATGATAGAGTGGCCTTTCAGATCACATAGATCTCCCTCATCGTTGGCTGCGATGTCTTGGGGATTCTGGAAGTCGTAGACCAAAAATAACTTTTCATTTAGCTTTGCCAGGAAGCAGGGAGAAGAGGCATGCTTGATTTCAGTCCTTTCTCACAAAACTGGAACTCGAGGCTTACAACGAAAACAAGTGCAGAGAAAAACAAACAAAAAATGACATGGAAAGTGTAAACAAATGGTAATATAAAACATTAGATTTTAAAAAAAAATTAAAAGCACATCAAATAAATAAGTGCAGCACCCATTCATTAAAGATGCCTTTCCTCAATGAGTTAATGCTGTTTGTGCATTGTCATTAAGATTATTGCTCTTTGGAATAAGCACTGTACTTTTTGGAGTGACTGCTTTTTAAGAATTTCTGGGTCATCTCTTGCTTGTTTGTGTACTTAAAGTCTCAGCTAACTAGAGTTCTCAAACTTCCTTCCCGTGAGATAATTTGGCCAGGATGCATTCATATTATTTTAACCTCCCCCTGTTAGGCTCACTTGAGTGTTTTCAGTGGGAAAATGTACCATGAACGACAAGATTGCCCATTGGAAACAAGAACTCAGGCTACTAGACACAGATGAAGGACACCTGCTTCTGCTTGTGTTAAGGTGGCACTGCACACTTCTCAAGCAGCTAAGGTAAGATGCAGTTGTTGCTGCTTCTCTCTGGATGGGTGAATGGGGAGGTTGTTTGGAACTGGAAGGAGGTTAAAGCAATTCTTTTTTACCCAGCTATCTTCCATCAGAGACATAGCCCGTTTCTAATGCTGTATTAGCAATCCCACTTCATTTCTCAAGCTGAGAGAAAAGCTGCATGTAAAGACTCTTCAGCAGGAAAAGCATAGCTGGCGGTGTTAATAGTCCATTGTGAGGAAGACGCATGCTGGGCTTTTGAAACAAGGGTGATGCAAATAGCAAGGGTGTGGTTAATGGCAAATGTATAATTTTTTTTCGATGTAGATAGACTATGGAAAACCCAGCCCAGAATGGAGCTAGGCAGAGAGAACAGGCTTTGATTTTCAATAGCTATGAGGAGCAGGAGTCACTATGGTCAAGAAGTAACATTTGCCTTCACCCATATTGTGTCCCCCTCTCCCCCAGGTACACATCTATGGCAGAAAATAAGCCAGGTTGGGGAAAACATGGACTGTATGGGGGCCAAGGCTGTTCTTGCAACCCCCCACACATACTCTAAATACTTCTCAATTTCTTTACCCCAAATGGCTCCCATGTTCTCAAATGATTGTGCTCCTATTTTGCCATGACTTCTGGTCATTGCCTGTTTTGGAAAAAGGCCTCTCCACGGCCTAAAAAAGTCCTGAGGGGTGCCAAACATGGAACAATTCTCGCCCCCTCCACAGGATCTTATGAGTATTTATTTCTTCCAAAAATCAACCCAAAAGAATAGGGTATAAAGGAGTGATATTTCAAAGTCCAGGGTAGGGAATGTGTGGATCCAGACCTTGGGAAATAACTCTTCCTTCATGTAACCCATTGCATGGTGTGGGGAGAGGAAAACTAGAAGAGTGCTAGAGAAGGAGACCTTTTGCTGAGTTGGAAGAGCCAGGACTGAACACCAACCTGCCCTTCCTATGCTTGAAATTTCACAAACATACGTCTAATAGTAGTAATGGCTTAGCATCTGTGTCATTCTGTGATCAAACAATCCTATACGGCTGTTGTGCAGGTGAATGTTCTTTAAAATAAATGGATCACTTGTGTCTTTCCAGATATTGTTGGACTGCAACTTCCATTAGCCTTTCAGACAGCCTAGTTTATGGTGAGGTAATCTGGGGTGTATGCTCTGACAATATCCAGAGATTTGCAAGCTGCCTACCCCTGCTTTCAAGGGATATTGCAGGTCAGTTTGCAGCACAGATGCTAAATTTGCAACAGAGGTGAAATTTGAACAGCTCCAATCTTTTAGCCATTGTCCCTGTCCCTGTTTTCCTCACCCTATACCCATAACAAATCATCCTTTTAAAATAAAGGAAACCATTTTGGATATATATTGGTTTCAAAGAGTAGTGTAGACAATATAGAGAATTTCTATCATCGTACTCATCTCAAGTGTATGTTCATCGTGTGTCTTGTTCCTTCTCATGTCTTCCATTGTGATTTTTTTAATGTTGGAAGCGATCTCATTCTTCTTGTCTGACAAACAGACATTTCTGCCTAAAATTTCCTATACTGCTTTTCATTTTGAGGAGTTACACTTATACTATCGTGCTTGTGGTTAATGGCAAATGTATAATTAAGATTGAATAGTATCCAAATGGAATTAAAACAGCAAAAATGGAAAGACAAACTAGGGAGTAGGGTTGGCTCTATGGAGAACTCAGGCTCACAGGGAAGCTTATCTTTTCTGTCCTGGGTCCCATTTTTGCACAGTTTTAAATCTTATTAGCACTGGTAGCACAAGCCAAACATTTCAGACAGCCTGTAGTCAGCTATTCTAGGGAGGCCTTGAGGTTGAATTGGCAGTATCCCAAGATCAGATCACTTGTTTGTCCCCTTGCCCTAATGTCTTCTGCAACAGACTCTTAAAATCCAGAGCTTGCCCTATGTAAATAAAAATGAGCTCTGTGGAGAAAAAGTAACAGACTTGAAGGTTGTGTAGATTTGAGAAATGACAGCATTCTTATAACTTCTTGCAAGATAAAATAACGTTTACCCTCAAGTTGTACAATCAGGACTGGAGAATCCAGCACACATAACAAAAGTTTGATAATACAGTTAAAATAAACTTATTTATGAGAAGACTATAGAGGCACTAGGTAGTACAATTTGGCTACAATTGTGTTGTTTGACCTAATGAATCTCCTGAATCAATCCTCCAGAGTTGTTGTTGTTGTGTGCTTTCAAGTTGTTTCTGACTTGTAGTGCTCCTAAGGTGGACCTGTCACAGGGTTTTCTGGTGCTGACAGTGTGACTTTCTCAAGCTCATCCAGTGGGGTTCCATGGGAGAGCAGGGAATCAAACCCTGATCTCCAGAGTGTTAGTCCAGTGCTCAAACCACTACACCATGTCCAAGCCAGCTTTAAAGAATGCCATGTTATTCTGTGCCTCTGCCCTAAGCCAATATTGGAACAATAGCTCTTCAGCCCAGTTGACAGACAGATTTGAGTTTTAAGGAGGCTTTTGCTTCCAATGTGGGAGTGTCAAAAGCCATGTGAGCACTTGCCAGGCTGTACTTGGTAAATTTAGCCAGTATCAACAACACTCCTATGAGTTAAAAAGCTGCCACTGCTATTAGTATAAAATAAGTTTGAGCCAGGGGGAAACACAAGCCTCAAAGTACATCCTAGAAGTTCCTTGGTAACCAGGGGTGAAACCCTGCACCCACGTTGGCCTAGAGGCCTGAGCCAAACAACACAGATTTCAGTAGTCATAACCAAGCTGCAAGATACTTTATAGTTTAGATTAGGCCACATCTAATAATATGTGTGTGCACGTGTGTGTGCGAACACACACACACACACACAATATAGAGACAGGTTGTTTAAAAATAGTAAAAGAAAAACAAGGAACAAAACAACAACACAGAACAGGACCAGTTACAAAGCTATATGGTGGCATACCACAATTGCAGGCACTTCCTTTGACCAATTAAGAGATTATATACAACTGATCAATCAGGACCTTCATAGGCCCAAACATTCTAGTTGTTTGGCATTCAAAAAGGGGCTTTCCATCACTAAGGAGAAAACTTTACAACAACCTTGTACCAATCCTGAACGAGATAACACAGGCATCTTAAGCCTTATGTTATCTAACCGGAAACTTGAAGGCTATGGGCCCATTGGCTAACACAAAATGGAATCTGACAGGAAAATATAGAAAACTCAGAAAAAAGATGGGATTTCTCCACGGACAACAGCATCTTTACAAAGAAAACTGCCATATTTTCACACCCCAGTGTGTAAACTCCACCTTGGGTGTTAGCTGCACAGCTAAGGGCCACCATATCAGGCCAGATGTTTTGTCTTTGAGGGATTTTTCCTATTCCCCTGATTTCTTTTAGTTCTCAGTCTGATCCACTTCCCAAAATCTGAGCATAATTTTGTCACCGTAGCTAGAAAGAGAGTTCTTTTGTATTGTAAACTGACAATTTGCAGGCTCGTAGCTCTGGTTTCTGAATTTTCAGCCATCTCAATGAAAAGTGCAGAATTTTCAAGTGCAAAACTTGGATTGTCATGAAGTTCCAGTTCCTGCAAAAGAAAATTCAAAGGAAACCCATGAGTGTATGATTCAAACAGTGAAGGCTCATCATACTCAGCTGTGAAGAAGTAGTGTGCCAACTTTTAGAATGGAGATTTTGAGGCCAGAGATGCAGCAAAGTCTGAGAAGCCTTCAGCAGTGTTAACTCATGACATTGTTGAGTGTGTTCATGACCTGATTTTGGCAAATTGGCGAATCTTAGCTAAAACAGTTGCTGAGGCACTAGTGATATACTAGGAACACACTGAGTTGATAATTCGTGAGCAGTTGGCTATACAGAAGCTGTCAGCCAAGTGAATGCCAAAATGTTTGAATGCTGACCAGAAACCAAATTGCGTGGATACATACCTTCAAGTTCATTTTGCAGCATTTAGAGCAATCTAATATTTTGGAACAACTCATCTGTTGATTAAACATGGTTATGTCACTATGATCATAGAATCATAGAATTGAAGGAGACCACAAGGGCCATCATCCAACCTCCCGCCATGCAGAAATACCACAATCAAAGTACCTCCAACAGATGGTCATCTATCCTATTTAAAAACCTCCAAAGAAGGATGATCCACCACACCCTGAGACAACGTATTCTCACTGTCAAACAGCTCTTGTCATCAAGAAGTCCTTCCTAAAGTTTAGGTGGAATCTCTTTTCCTGTAGTTTGAATCTAAGATCTAAGACCAAACAAACAGTCCTTGCATGACAGCACTCAGGTTCTCCACAGCTAAGGAAATTCAAGACTCGAAGCTCAGCTGGGAAAGATCATAGCCACAGTTTTTTGGGATAAGGAAGGTATTTTGATGACTGTTTTCAGAAGGCCCAAACAGTTAATGCAGAATACTGTTCTAACTTGCTCTGCTGCTTATAAAAGGCATTGAAGAGAAAATAGCAAGGAAAACTGCAGAAAGATGTTCTCTTTTTTTGCAGGACAGTTACCTGCTCACAATTATCTGGCAAGAGAATTGATGTTTTGAAGAATTTGGGGTTTGAATGCCTAGACCAGTGGTTCTTAACCTGTGCTTCATGGAGCCCTTAGGGCTATGTAAATCAAAAAGTTTGGGAACTCCTGGCCTAGACCATCCACCCTATTCACTGCATCTTGCCCCATCTGACTATTTCCTGTTTCCAGTCCATAAATAGACTTTTAAAGGAAGGAAATTTTCAAATGATTTCGAGGTGATAGCAGCAGCAGAGCAGTATTTCAGTGACCAGACATCTGAATTATTTTGAAAGGGTTAAAGAAACTTGAGAATGTGCCAAGTGCATTAAACCTCAGGGTGAATATGTGGAATAGTATGTAAGTTTCATGGCTTTACGTTGGGTCAAGAACTTGTTAGTGTTGAGAACTTTTCAGCACCCCTTCATACCATGTAGCTCATGGGTCAGATGTTGGACTGGAATTCCTATCATCCCTCACCATTGGCAAGGGTTACTGGGAGTTGCTATTTAACAACATGTGGAGGGGTTCATGATTCCCATCTCTGATTTAGCCTAGTGAAAAGTTCTGGAGAACTTGAAAACTTTTCTGATATCTTATGTGTCCTAATATATTCTGATTTTATTATTTTTATTTTCAGTATACTGACAGGCATTTTTTGCAATTTTATATTCAGAAACACACATCCTCTACTTGTTTAAATAGAAGCAAAAGAGAATTCTGCACATTCTTCGACTTGACTAGAGTTCTATAAATTTCCTGACACTGCTGAAAGAATGGAAACAGAATTCTGGATTAGATGTACACTGATCTCATCCACCAAGGCAATTCTTGTTACACAACATTGTCTGTTATGTTCCCAGTTCATACATGAAAGTAAATCCTATACTAAACACAGAAGTCACAGTGCATCCTGGAAGCTATTTTATTCACCACCACCACCACCACCAAGTATGTGCATGCAGAGCATGCTAAACCAGTTACTAAGTGCAGGTACAAATAAATTATGGTCAGCCTTTGGCCTTGAATGGAGGTTTCAAGTCTTTCCCTTTATTAACAGTTCCTTTTGCCAAATGGATTTTGTTATTTCAACTTGTCCAAACATATCTCATATAGTTTAAGAGGACGCATTTCCTTCTGTTTATACAGAGACTTCTTTAGCAGATTTTAATGAACTGCAACTGCCTTACCAGTTCTATTTAAATAAACGTGTGTTTTTCTTTTGGATCTTTCCAAAATAAGCATATTAAAGAAGCAAATCAGTTGAAAGGTACTGCATTCCTAAAGGTATTAAGGATAGTTAGGATTATTATTGCATTTGTCCTGATTTTTACTCTGTGTGTGTGTTTGTGTATGTGTGTGTGTGTTTTTCTGTTGTGTAATCATGGACTATTTTAGTGTTTAGTTCCCTGGATGCAATTAAGACGTTTCAAACTAACTGTTGGAGAAAGCTTGCAAATGTAATATGAATCTAGACTTTTGCCAGATGTCGTTCTTTATTATTGTTGCCATTGCTTACCCAGCTGTGTGCTTAATTTGAGAACTTTCTTACCTATGCATGTACCCAAACTGCATTGTGCAGCATTTCTGGGATTGTACAAATTCACAGTGTTGATGGGGTAGGATCCCATGTTTGAATTCTCCGGAAACAAACAAACAAATCCCTGCTCATGGAAACCTAGCATATTCATGGGATGTTTCTAGCCTGACCTTCTCCCTCATGGGCTAATATTTTATTTGGCAGAGCTTATACAAGGGATCCTGGTAACTGATGCCACCTCTATTCCTTTAGCTATAGCCATGTGCAAGAGAATCCTAACCCATAAACTGTGCACATGGGACTAAATCAAATGTTATCATCAGGCCCTTTCACACTGCACAAAACTATGATTCAGTGAGGTAGACTTGAGTAGATTGACTCAGACTCAAGTCGCTTCAATGACTCAACTTGGACTCGACTTGGCAATAAATCATGTACTTGACTCAACTCAGGAATTGTGTATCTTTAACGAGCAACTTGTCAGTCTAACTTCATTCAGAAACAGTAAACAATGGGCTTGAGGAATGGGTTGAAGGCTACTCAGCACCCTGTCCCTGCTGCACATTGGGAGAGATTTGTAAAGCCTTTGAAAAACTTTCAATTGCTCAAGCCCATTCCTTAACACATTTGCTGTTCCCATCTGAGAATTTCATCCTCTCTTTGTGCACGGCTTCTTGATTTTCTAGTTATTGAGATTGCACCCCAACACAGACACACTCCCACCCACCCCCCCATCACTACCACTTCCTTTTTGTCTGTTAAAGTTGGCTCCCAGAGTTGAGACTTGAGACTCAGCTTGAAAGTACCTGGCAAGGGCTTGAGTCTTGACTTGAGGCTTGGCGCAAAAGACTTGAGACTTGACTTGACACTTGGAGTAAAAGACTTGAATATTTTACAAAATGGCAGATTCCCTGTATACTCACGTGTTAACTCAAAAATGGCATCCATAGCCCAAATACCCTTATTTGTTAAAAATTAAAGACTTCTCTGGTGGGATTTCCATGCTTTTTCTTTCATCCAGTTTTTTCCAATCCAATTTTTCTCTTCCTTCATGTCCATGCTATCAGTGATGCCTGTAAACTCACTAGAGGTCAGAACTTATTTCACACACCTCAATAAGCTGCTATTTGGTTGCTTCCACCACAGCTTTCCTGCCATGTTGTAACATCAGCGTAAACAGATATCCCCAAGTGTATCTTGACCCTTCTTTCACAGGATTATAGTAACTGGTTTATATTTCTTTATTTTGCAATTGTGATCTGAGCTATGTCTTGAAAGACTGGCACTTAAAAACCACCTTTAATGAAAGTAATGTAACTTAACAAAATCCAAC